TATATATATATCATATTTTTATCCATTCATCTATTGAAGGACATCTAGGTTGGTTCCATAGTTTAGCTATTGTGAATTGTGCTGCTATAAACATTGTTGTGGCTGTGCATTTGCAGGTAAATGAATGGAGTTAGAGAAGATAATGCTAAGTGAAGTTAGCCAATCCCAAAAAAACAAATGCCGAATGTTTTCTTTGATATAAGGAGGCTGATTCATACTGCGATAGGAAGCGGGAGCATGGGAGGAATAGACAAACTCTGGATAGGGCAGAGAGGTTGGAGGGGAAGGGAGGGGGCATGGAGTAATTAATCCCTGGATATCTCTGCTGCAGATTTTAATGATGGATTTGTGAGAAACTGTTCCAGGAGCTTCCAAGTTGTTTTCAAAAGGCCTTAGAAAATCCCTGGGGATGGAAGAAGGCCCTGAGCCAGTCTCCAAATTTCCTTAAATTTTTTATACAGATAAAGCTAGGTTAAAAAATTAAAGTCATAAAAAGAACAATATGCAATCAGATGTAGCAAACATGGAAAAGTGGTTCAATCATTTGATCTCAAAATAGAAGAAATCAAAAGTAATTTATTTATATAAGCACCTTCAGGGTTTTTTGTTTGTTTGTTTTGTTTTGTTTTTGTAGGTTTGCCTGTGAAAAAATACATCCTTCTCACCCACTGTTCGCGTCTTGAATCTCAATCCAAAACTAATAGCTCTGGAGATCCATCAATAATACCTGGGAAAGTGAATGGTCTAGTATACTCCCCACATCTTCAAAGCTATGGAACTGAAGGATGTAAAGCTCACAGGGGTTCTGTGGCTAACAGCCCTCAACGGTCAACTCTCCAAAAATTGCTTCAGCCAAAGATAGATCTTCGCCCCTATAGCTCCTTCTTGGGCAGTCTGCATCCAGGAACTGGTGAAAAGAGGACCAAAAGGTGGAACTGTTCTAGTTATCTTTTTTGCTGCTGTGACTTAAAGCTCTGACAGGAACAATTTTAGAGGAAGACAAGTGTATTGGGGGCTATAGTTTCAGAGGCCTCAGTTCATTGTTAGCCGCCTCCATTTTTCAGGACTGGAGGTGAGACTGAACATCATGACTGAAGAGTGAGGTGAAGGGAAGTGACTCACAGGATGAACAAGAAGCAGAGAGAGGGAGACTCCACTTGCCATTTACAAAACAGATACCTCAAAGGCATTCCCACAATGACCCACCTCCTCCAGTCCCACCCTATCTACCTTCAGTTACCACTCAATTAGTCCCTATGGGGGATTAATTCACTGATTGGGTTCAGGCTCTCATAATCCAATAATTTCTCCTCTAAACCTTCTTTCATTGTCTCACAGATGAGCTTTTGGCCAACACTTCACATCCAAATCATAACAAGCTTCTTTACTTGCTTTGTGAAATAGCATCCCAGTTTCAGAACTTCCCATGAGATCAGCTGAGTATCTTCTTATCATTGCTCTGAAACCCAGCTTCTTCCTCTAGTCACACTATTCTTTTCCTTTTTCTAAACTTCTCTTCCCTTCCAAAGATTATAACTAGTAAACTCTCCATTATGCATCTCAGAGTTTTCTTGGGCATGGATGGGGAACAAAATTTGTAAGTTCCAAGATCTTTGGTCCTCTCTTCCCCAAAGAAGATCCTCTTACTATGCTTCTATAGGTAATGTAAACCTTCCACTGAATCAGAATTACCTTTCTTGTAGCTACAGATGAAGTAGAAGCAAAGGTTCAAATCACATTGAAGGGAGGAGATGACAAAACACCAGGCACATATTGCTGATTCGCACCAAGTAGAAGAAGCTTTATTCCGGCAATAAAGTAAGAAGGAAACCCATTATTCTTCCTTCTCAATGTACATATCATGCTGTGCAGCATCTGCCCCAAGGCGTATGGCAAGGGTGAAATGATTGCAAACATTAAGATCTTGCTCAGAAAGATCTATCTTTTAGTTCACTGAGAAACAAACAACCTTAGAAGTGAGTGTTTTACTTTAATAACTAAAATAAAATCCCTTATACCAGCTATTGATATTATTGTCTTATTATTTTGCATTTATATAGCTATAGGAGAAAATAGGCTTTAAAAATCTGAGAAAATGGAAATAATCCCACTTTACTACCAATAAAACCCAAATATCCATTAAAAATTCAATTGTCAGATAAATGAAGTTGCACTGGAACTATCCTATTTTGGAATAAACAGGATAGGGGGAAGTTTTTATCTCTTTTCTGGAAATCTGTTTAAACAGCTTTCCATGACATTGGATTTATCTAGAACTCAAAGGTGATTTCTGTCAACCCCTTATTGAAGTCGCATTTCAATTAAAACCCTGAAAGAGCCTTTCTATCAAGGCCCAGCATTCATCTGAGTCGTCTCTGAATATGCTTTCCTCAGAAAGAGGATTTATATTTTATTTTTTCATTGACTACAGAAGTTATTCTAAACTAAATTGGGCTTTGTTCACCAACTTACTTCTCAAAATTAAAGATAAAGTCTTTCAATAGCAGGGTACATTGCCTTCCTCCACCAAAGTGAATTCAACAGCTCATAATTAGATTTACTTTAAATTCTAGAGAAATTAAGATTTACATAAGAGTGACTTTTTGAAATAAATCTGTTTACATTAATATATTTAAATGTTGCTCCTTGGGAAAGACCATCAATTTATAGAAATGATTAATAGAAATTAATGAAATTAATGACAGCCTATCTATTTGTTCTAGCACTTGGGAAAGGTACTTAATCTTTGTTATGTCAATTATCAAAGAGTAATCAAAACAATTTTTGTTGTTGTTTTCAAAGAAAGCTATTGCCAAAATCTTGGTTATGTTTTAAATATTCGACACTAAGGAAGATATCATATATATCCATATTCATGTGTACATGTATGATGGATTCACATGTGAGGAAAGCCTTTTTTCTTTCAAAGGGTACCCACCTGGTCCAGTATATTTAAATCAGAAGGATAAATGCCAAAATTATATTTCCCTGCAGAATCTTGATTAATTAATCTTAGAATTCATAAAATTTATAGGTTCACAAGGAACAAAAATATCTTGGCAATCATTTGGTCAAACTTTAAACAGAAGAACAGGAAGACCCCAAGAGATCTCATGGGAGATATATTAAAATGAATGTAGTCAAACTAGAGAAACTTTGAAGCTGGCCTCAACTCTTTCATCTACCACTTAGTTTAAGCAGATTATTTTTAAAAATCTCTCAGCCTCAGTTGCATCATCTATGAAATGAAACTAAGTTAACTTGAAAGTTTTTTTTAAAGGTTTTTATTAGTGCATGAAAGTTCCACGTACTAGTGAAGTTCATTTTGACATAATCATGCATGCATGAAATATAATTTACTCCATTTCAGTGTCCAGTCCTTCCTTTTCCCTTTCCCTCCTGTCTCCCAGTGCCCCTTCCTCCTCTGTTCCACTGGTCTTCCTTCTATTTATTGCCTTTTTTTTACATGTATGAAAATACCACAGTGAATTTCATCTTTATGTATATCTAAAAAGGACCAATTGAAAGTCACTTAAGATAAATATAAACATTAAATATCAAACCCAGCACAGACTTGTATTTAATCATAGTAGCATTTATTATCTCATATGCTTAGAAACTTAGAGGGACCATAAAATATCCAAAAAAAATAGTATAAGATAACACTAAAACTAACTTAAATATTTTTAAAGGATCGATCCAGAGCTAAGAAAATGCTAGAGAGACTACAAAATGGGGTAGTGACCCTGGACAAGGACAGTAATTGAGAAAATAGGAAGAATAAATGTCTTCATCAGCTGATACAAAGGGCTGCAGAGAAAAAGCCATATATTTGGATTACAAAGAAACAGACCACATGCATTCCACAGCTTTCCGGGTCCCCAAATAAACTCATTTTCCCTCCAGTGCAATGCATCATGCTTGTCATTATAGCCATATTTATCATCAGACATAATGTCACCAGGATTAAAATGTTAGGGAAGAGTTTGTGGGTGTGTTGACATACTCCCCAACCCATCCCCACACAGGATGCTCATTTATTTCATAAATGACATAGTATTTCCATGTTACCTATGCATATCCTGTATACTTTAAATCATGTCTGGATTAATTACAGTACCTGATACAAAGTAAATTCTATGTAAAAGTTGTCATGTTAAGGTGAGATTGCAATAAACCGCTGAGTCAATCTTAAAGCAAGAGATAGACACTTTATTCACCAGTTGGTGGGCTGGATCCCCCAGCTGACGGGCCAAAGGGTAGGCTGCAAATTACACCCTTCAACCTTTTCCCAGGGTTTGAGTACACCTTTTATAGTCCAAAACCATATTAAAGCATAAGCGGCTGTTGCTGTGATTCGAAACCATAAGCAAATGTCATGAGATCTAAAATCATAAGCAGAAAAGGGAGTGAGCTACAACTTCCCTAGTTGACCACAATTAAAGAATAGTTATTAACATCTAGCAATCTCTGACAAAGTACATTGTCCAAGAAAAATGGGAACCCAAGAGAGAACACTTTTACATTGTATAATAATTGCCATTTTCTGTTGCCAAACAAGCTATGCTAAGCAAGTGTTGATGGGTGCAGAATATAATGTGGAGTCTCAGGACAAAATGGAATCTGTTTGGAGGCTGGGATTGTGGTTCAGTGGCAGAGCCCTTGCCTTGCAAGTATAAGGGTTTGGGTTTGATCCTCAGCACCATATCAAAATAAAAAAAATAATTAAATGAAAGTATTGTGTCCATCTACAATTAAAAAATATTTTTTTTAAAAAAATGGGTCTGTTTGGTCCTTGCCTATATAACCTGGCCCATAACAGTCAGACTGTATTGTTTAGGAAACAATGACAAGAAAAAATTATCTGTAGATGTTCAGTATAGATGTGATTTTTTTTCCTCAAATGTTCTCTCCTTTTTTATATTTTATTTATTTGTTTGTTTGTTTGTTTGTTTTTGCAGTGGTAGTAGTTGAACCTAGAGTCTTCCTCTGTGAGGCAAGTACTCTAACATGGAATTACAACACCAGACCCCTGAACATTTTCAGTCTAACAGGTTGAATCCTCAGGTGCAGAACCCATAGAAACTGAGGGTCTTCTATTACTTAGATCCTGAAACTAGTTGTTTAGGTTATTTATTTTCTCATTTTTATTGTGTACTTTATCACAAATACTAATGGGAATTTTATAGAGCCACTGAAATCATGGAATAATTGAATATATTTTGAATGTATTTTCAAAATGTTAATAAATAAATCAATATATTGGGAATGGTAAAGGAAGAATACAACATTCTAGATATTAATGATTTTTTTTACAAATACCTTTTCTTTTTAATCTATAAGTGATTTTAAAAAAATAGAGAACCTTATAGCTAATTAAACATTCAAAACATACCAGGTGACCAGTATTTTGCGTTAAGCCTTGTACTACACAGAGCTCTGCTCCTACAACTGAGCATTTCATTTGTTCTTCCCTTTTTCCTGCATTGGATATTCCAAATAAGAGGCAATGCCATGTGCTCCAAAATTCTGTTTGTTGCCATCACCAAAATATTTCAGACTTTCTCGTTCCTCTTCCTCCATGCTCAGCCAGAACAGGTTGTATCCCTGCTGTGTCAAACTAAGGGCCTGAGGTGCTTCATCAGCCAGCCATTGAATCAACAAATCTTTCTTAAAAATCTTACCTCTAACTTTAAGAATGCTGACAAGGAGATTGTAAATAGTGATGACTACTATTGGGAACTACTATTGGGAACTACAGAAGATGTAGAGAATAGTGTCTGTATCCTTGGAGAAAATGTTTATGGTCAAAACATTAAATTGCAGTGACAATGATGATAGCTACCATTTACTAGTGTATATTATACCAAGTCAAGTGTTTTACCTATACTTCTTTCCTATATTTTCAAGTAGATAACAAGAATTAAAGATTGTATATATAAAACCTTAATGAAACAACAGTTGATTGTATGGATGCTTAGACAGACAAATCAATATCTCTTCCCCAAAATAGTTACTCCATAATGTTGCTGGGATAATTAGGAATTTACTCATTCATATTCCCATATATTCTACAGTGTTTTATTATTTCAAAAGAAAAATGCATGTATTTGATTCATTATATGCGTATGTAATTTAATTTCTCTGGGTTTCTCTCCTCATTTGAAAAATGAAGATGACTCCTAGCTAGCAGTTATGTTTTAAGAACAAGTTTAAATGATAAACTGCATGCAAAGAATCCAAAGAAGAATGGTGATTTCTTAATCAATATTAATTTCCCTTTTGTTTTCTCCCCAAAAGATGACATTTCATTATCTTGCCTAGAAGAATGCTGGTACTAAATTTAGATAATCCAATTTCATTGGTTCCTAATGGAGAGCATTATCACAGAAAAGGAAAAAAATCAAGGATTACCCTATTATTCATCAAAACATTTCAAAGCCATGAAGCACAACAGAGGAAATACTCTAAATCAAAGGTCTGTTAAGTCATCAATGATGGTTTAGTTTTTTAAGTTTCCCTTGATATCATAAGGTGATTTATTCTACCAAAGGAAAGATACTAGATTCTCTACACCAACAATAAAAAATACATATAATGAAAAACATGTGATCATCTCAATAGATTTAGAAAAAGCATTAGACAAAATTGAATACCCATTATTGGTAACTATCTCTCAGTAAATTAGGAATAGAAAGGAACTACCATAATTCCATGCTGACTTTAAAAATATATAGGTAATAGCTAATATAATTAATGGTAAAATACTAAGTATTCTGCTAAGAACAGGAAAAAGACAATTACCTTCGCTTTCATCACTTCTACTTAATATCTAATATTAGAGGTTCTTGTCAGTGCAATAAGGCAAGAAAAATAAATATAAATGTATATGTACAAAAAAGAAAGAAGTAAAACTTTCTACACTGTCAACATAGAAAGCTCTAGTAAGTGTTTAAAAAAAGTGGTTTTTTTTTTCTAAATCCATTACATGAGTTTAGCAAGGACACAGATTTAGCAAGGCCTTTCTA